GAGGAAGAAGAAGGAATAGAAGGATTGATGCAAGCTAGAGAAGAGGAGGAAGGAAGAAATGGATCGCTACAACCTCAACAAGAGAAGGAAGGACAAAGACAGTGGGTACAATAAAACTAATACACTAGTTATATGATACACACACAAACACCCATTGAAAAGCTGAAACTTCATTGAAAAAACACAGTTAAAACCTGCAGTGAATGTGTATATATACACGCTAGCGATATGCATGTATGTATATAAATATACACGTTGACATTGCTATATATATGGACACACGCATATATAAAACTTGATATTTCACACACATGTATATATAAGATGAAAGGAGTTAATTAAAAAAGTTGAGATTATAATTTTATGTTTTATGAATTTTTCTTAAAAAATTGAATATTTGATATAACTTAAATGGAGTTGACTTTATTTTGCACAGGGACTTTATGATGGAGGATGAATTGGAACCCAAAATAGGAAGGGAGTTTGGAAGTTGGTAAGAGGCATGGGAATTTTGGCAAGAATATGCTAAAAACACTGGGTTTGGACCTAGAAAGTATAATGGTACAAATAGCAGAAAAGATGGTTCACTTATTACATATCGATATGTATGTTGTAAGGAAGGTCGTCGGAAAGAAGGTAAAAAAGAGACATATTCTTTCAAGTATCGGGCAGAGACAAGGACTAACTGTAAGGCAAGAATGATAATGTCTTTTATTGATCAAAAGTATAAAATCACTAAATTTGATGAAGAGCATAATCATCCCTTGCACACACCAGCAACAAGGCACTTCTTAGCCTCTCAAAGAAATTTATCAGAAGTTGATACTTATGGGATTGATTTGGCAAGAAAGTCTAGGCTCTAACAAAAAGCTACGTTTGACTTAATGAGTACATATGTTAGAGGTAAATCAAGTCTTGGATATACTCGAGTAGATATGCAAAACTATTTGCAAAAAGAAAAGCAAAGAAGTATGAAGTATGGAGAGGTAAGGTGTCTATTTGAATATTTTCAAAAACAACTTGTAGTAAATCCTACATTCTACCATAAATATTAGGTGGACACAAAAGAACAAACCACCAATGTGTTTTGGGCAGATGTTGGAATGCTAATAGACTATGCACTTTTTGGTGAGGTCGTATCTCTAAACACAACATATTACACAAACCGTGATCATCGACCTCTTACAATCTTTTCTGGCTTTAATCATTATAGAAGTGCAGTCATTTTTGGAGCAGCATTATTGTATGATGAGACCACTATGTCTTTCAAGTGGCTATTAGAAACTTTCTTGGATGCTCATATGCAAAAGAAGCCTGAAACTGTGTTTACAGATCAAGATCAAACTATGGCAAGAGTTTTAAATGAAACTCTTCCTAACACAAAGCATTGTTTGTGTACTTGGCATTTAAAGCAAAATGGCATCAAACACTTGGAAAATTTAATGAAAGATGGATCACATTTTTTAACTGATTTCTGTAAATGCATGTCTAAAATTTTAGAAGAAGATAAGTTTGAAGAAGCATGGAGCTAATTAATCTCTTCTTATGATGTCCATGAGAATACATGGTTGATATCCATGTATAAGATTAAAGAGAAATGGGCTTGGTGCTATGTAAAAAATCATCGTACTCTAGGTATGAGAAGTACACAGCTTAGTGAAAGTGTGAATGCTGATGTGAAGAGATGCACAACACCGGGCTTAGCTATAAATGAATTCTTTACCACTTTTAACAAAGTTGTTGTAGAGGAGCAAGACAAGGAATTGAAGCTTGAGTTTGATTCTCGACAACAAATACCGAGGATGGTTAATCAAAGTGCACCTATATTGCGCCAACTTGTGCTAACTTATACCCCCAATGCCTTTGACATGTTCCATGTAACACACCAAAAATTTTTTTTTTTATAATTTAATTCAACCATAGTTGGGTTACAGCCACCCAACACATTTTAATATCAATAATTTCGATATAAAATATTTTATAATTGGCTTCAACTCACACACTATAACATTTCAGATAAATTTTTACCTCCCACATGCCATTAGGCTAAATCACATTTGTCCATCCTTATACTCCCAACAAGTAAACTAAATCACATTTGTCCATCCTTATACTCCCAACAAGTAAAATAAGCAATTTAGTCAATTTTCAACACAAGCCAGTTATTTGGCCTTATAATCATGCCATTTTAACCAATCCAAAGTAAACCAAATATTAAAATTACAGTCATCCAAATTGTACTAAAAATAGAAATAGTTTGAAAGGCATGATTACATTTATATATTCATATAATTGACAATAAACAAAAAGCCCTAATATTGGCAATATAACACATTATAAATCATAAATTAAATACCCAAAAGAGACAGTGGATCTATACCACTAAGTCTCTGGGACTCCTCCACGTGTCACTTGTGGCTCTTCTCCTGAAAATTGTTAACCACATAATGAGACTCAAAAGTCCCAGTAACCAAAGCCAATTTATGATAGTGTATACAAACAGTTAAGTGTGTGCTTACTAAGTGAGAATTAAAAATAATATAATTCCAATAAATATAAGGAATATTATAATAAACACAAACAACCATCCTTATATCCCTCCATTAACCTCGAGCCGTAGCCCTCACTCGGTGCTAAATTACCCAGCCAAAGGTAGATTAGCCCGAGCCCTTACAAACCACCTATTGAGCTCCAATAGGGGCATACCACGTGGCACATAAATACAACAACAATAGCAAGTCTCCCAACACCTCCCACAATAATCAAACAAATTCATAATAATATTGCACAATTATACAATATTATAAAATTCATAATTTTCTCAATAATCACCCAATTAACATGAAGTAACACTAATCACAAATTAAAAGCATGGTTACCTTGTGGCTTTTTCAATAAATTATTCCTTAAAATTTCTCTCTCACCACAATCTTCACCAGTAATACAATCTACAAATAACATATTATTTATAAATATTAGTTTCAATTTTTGAAACTAATAAAATAATTCTAATAATAGAATTAAAAATATAACATAATTCCTAATCTCAATCTTAATACAAATCTATAGTTAATACTATTAAGTATAATTTTTAACTCCTCTTTTAATTATTAATAAACATTAATAATCTAAAAATCAAATTTTAAACTAATTTCTATTATCAAAATTTTTTTTATTTTATAAATTCGTACCTAAAATACCCAAAAATTAAAAATTGAGTCTCTAGTTTAGAATCATAATCCTATAGCCATAATAATTTATTTCTCATCCCAAATAATCATCTAAACCTCAATAAATCAACATATATTTTCAGATCTAGTTTAAAATTTGATCCATAAGCCACAGATTCAAAGATCATCAATAAATTTATACTCTAGAACATTTATTATACTACTGACAACCTCAAAAATCATATTTATTCAACATAAATTCATCCCTCTTCCAGATCTTGAATTTTCTACCACTACAAACTCAGAAACTAAAGAAGAAGGATGACTAAGAAAAATTTTTAGAACACTTACTTAGTCTTAAAAAGCTTAAAATCACACCCTAAATATCCTATTAAAAACTCTTACCTTAAAAATTTAGATATTTCGCACCGGTGACTCGCGTTCTCTCCGCCTCAGCTCGCGCGCAGGAATGAATGAGGAAATGAAGGAAGGTGAGTTTTTATAAAAATTCAGTGGGTCCCACACATTTTTTTTTAATTATTTTCTCTCTCTTCTTCTTCTTTTTTTTATTATTATTTTATTATTGTTACTGTTGAGGCGGCGGACGAAGCAAATTCGTTTTCTTCTTCTTCTTCCTTTCTTTTTTATTATTATTATAATAATAATTAATAATATTATTTTATTATTTTTTTTATTTTTTTTATTTTTTTAAATTATTTATTTTTTTATTTTTTTTTAATTTTCTATTAACCCAAATTAACTATTAAAATTTATATTGGGATATTACATTCCAAGGATAATGGAATCTCTAATTCTCTGTGATGTTGTCTAATCATGATGAGGAAGGACCATCATATGTATACATTGCTCGTATGATTGATGAAGAAGGAGAATGGAGAGTTGAGTTTAAACCCGACATATATGAAATTTGTTGCACTTGTCAGATGTTTGAGGCCACTGAGATATTGTGTTGTCATGCATTGAAAGTATGCGAGTTGAAGGATGTGAGAATTATGCCCAAGCAATACATTATCAAGAGATGGACTAGAGAAGCAAGAAGTGATGTTGTATATGATATTGGAGGGAGTGAGATACAAATAGACCTAAGGCTTGAAATCACACAAAGGTATAGATAATTAATGCATAAAATGGGAAGATTGGCAAAAAAGACAGCCAAGAATGTTGAAAGTTTTGAGCATGTTCAGAGATGCATCATTAAATTAGATAAAGAAATTTCAGATAGTAATGAAGATGCTACTCGTGAGCCAAGTAGATCACCAGTCATAGAATTTGAAAATATGCCTAAAGAGTTTAAAAAGAGAGAAGGAAGAAAAAGAAAGCGACGTTATAAACCTTAGGAGGAAAAAAATTTAATGATCAGAAGATGACTTGTAAAAGACCAAGAGGTATTGAGTTTTTTATTTAAATTGCATTTAATACAAAAATTTGTTACTAATTTTATATTTTTCTTGCGTAGGGAATTCAAGAGGCTCCATTCTGTAAGAAAAGAAGAAAAGATTCAAAAAACAAATTTACAAAGACACAAGCTGTAACCATTCCAGCAGAACTTATACAGACTCAAGAATCAACATTTCCATACTTAGCACCTTCAACTCAATATGTTTTTGCACCATCTACATCTCAACCATTGTCATTTACAAGCTTGTTGACGGTAAATAAGTTAATACTAATAATTATGTACAGTTATCATATCATCAACTCACAACTATTATCATTTAGAATTTAGGAGCCTGAAGAAAATGCAATCCCATCTCTTGAAGCTATAGAGATTATAGCAGCAAATTATTCACAAGGTATACAATAGAAGAGTAGATGGAATAATCTTTCATTCATTTCAAAGTTTTTATACATTTGCTACTTGTATACATAAATTGTCTCATCGCATATGGACATCACATTACATAAACCTAACTATCTACAATTTCTTCTTCATATAGGACATTAAAATAGATGCAAGATAGGTTGCTGGCCATTTTTTTGGATTCACAAGCATTACACAATTTTCTTGGACATTATGGTATACCCTCATCTCCTCTCTTGGAGCACATGACTTCATAGTATGATTCTTTTTGTTGGATGGCACTTGCTTTGCTTTATTAGACAACAATCATCTGCCCCTACCAGCATTTAGTAGTAAATTAATCTCCATCCATCATTGGACAGCTTTCAGCCTTCCTCTTGTTTTTTGTCAGTCTATGTTTGTAAATGTCCATTCAGCCTTCCTTTTGTTTTTTGTCAGTCTATTGTTCCTGTAAATGAAATATTTACTGAGGGTAAGAACTATATTCAGTTAGCATATCTACAAATGCTAAGAGTTTTAATTGATTACATGGATAGATGCCTTATTAAGGTTTCAAAGACCAAACTCTTTGATCTTTATTTTTTTTAGAACAAAAACAGCAAGCCAAAGGCTTAAAAGCTTACAAAAGGTAAAGCCTGATTAACTATAGATTTATTGTCTTGTAATGCCACACAACAACCAACAGATACATCATTGATAAAAGTTATCAAACTCCTTCATTTGACATGAGTTGGGAAGAGTAAAATCAAGGAGGATTGGAACAGATTTTTGTCCATCCATGTCAACATGTTATATTATTATACTTGTAATAAGTCCAGTTTGTGGGAAGAGCATGGAGAGCTAGCTGGACGTCTGGGTTATTCATATAGGCTTCCACATAGTAATCAGAGCATGGATCATAATTGTACAGCTGAAATTATCAATACATTAATTGAAAAGACAGTCTCATCAGATTGAGAAGATATTGCTAACAAAATAACTACAGGAAGACTTACAGAACCAGGCGGACCATTTCTGAGTGAGGTGTCAAGCGAACCAGGAAGACTTATATTATTAATACTTGAATGGGTTTCATATGAGATTAGAGCATGAGTCCATAAGTAATTAAATATTCCCTTTGAACTTGTTTCATCATCGATCCAAGCATTCCCTATCTGAGATTTCATCACAAATATGTCAAATTATATAAAATTTCATAGTAATTAAGTGTGTTGCAACAAGCAAATTAAAGGGCATTATTGTTAAAGGATGGACGTACAGTAATGCCTTTAAGGTTGATAATGGTTTGTCTAGGGAAAATATGTTGGACCAAAATGGTGTAAGCAAGTTGAGGCACATAATGACCAGCGTAGCACTCTCCAGTGATGAAGAAATCTCTGGATTTGTATTGTGGAAATCTCTCGAGCCAATTGATGAGGAACACATAGGCATCTCTTGCTGTAAACTTATCTCCTGCTTGATCATAATCAGACAAAGTGTTTGAGTAGGAAAAGCCCACTCCAGCTGGTGATTCCAAGAACAACACATTTGCCACTGCATGTATTCATTAACACCAGAATTGCAACCATCGAATGAGCACAAAGGCAAGTAAGACTGTATTAAGATCACACAAAGTATGCTACATGTTATAAATTGAAAATCAACATGTTCATTACATTCTTACAATCACAGAATTTTATAGAATTAACAAAAATCACAATAGCATAAATCATATTTTTTTCTTTTTGGAGGGGGAAAAGAATAACTCAAAAACATAGTTGCTAGATTAAAAAACTTGGAAAAGGATCTAAAAAAAACATTCTCTACAATCTTCAATTCCATTCTCCAACTGGGAAATTGCATTTAGGCTTGTTCGCTTCATGTTGTCAATTAAAGGAACTAATAAATTGAATATGCGTATGAACATATATGCTGAGAGTTGAATATGCGTATTCTATGTTAAGTAAACCTTATGTATGATCAAACCTCTTCAACCTTCAAAATTCGCAAATCATGAAGGGTTACTGTCTTGCCAATGCTACCACTACAAGTCTCTGGTCTGAACGCTCTTTGCCGTCTTGCTAGTGCTGTTGCAAGTCTAGTGCAAACGCCCTGAATGCTTTCAAGTTGGGGAGGAAGAAGCCTGGGGCGAGCGATCTGAACGGAAACGATTTGGGGAGGAATACGTCCGGTGCGAAATCTCGAGTCTGAAATGCAAATGATTTGGGGAGCAAGAGGAATAAAAAATTAAAAAGAATATTAAATATTAATTATAAAAAGACGGTTGAGATTATGTAAAAATCAATGATTTAGATCTGCTCACTTATTGAAACTCATCGTTTTGTCCGATAAGCTCTCGGTGCTCTGATGAGCACCGAATGAGAACGCGTTCAATATCTGTCGGATGGTCACCGGGCTAGTGTTATCGGGCTCTATTGGGCTTAGGTGAATTTGGTTTACCCCAGGGCTTAGTTATATTAACGAACACCGGGAAGAAGCAAGGAGACAAATCACCAGAAACTGATGGTGACGTGATGAATGGTTAGTGGGCGACGACGAATTAAGTTAACCTCGGAGTAAAGGATCTCAGCTGTTCAAAGTGACTTCTCTTATCCTTGGATCTGCTTTGTGAACGTTGGAATGAGGGACCATAGTCCGCAGACATTCAATGCTAGGATCCGTTGCAGAGAAAGATCTGCTCTCGCGGACCAAGTGAAAAGCATACGATTTGAGCAACGGTCTCCTCTTTTATTGTTGACGTTTATGGTGTCGCATTTAAATAACCAAGCGGCCGTTTTATGGGCAGTGTGAGAGAGCACGGCATTTACGTCACCTGTTATCCTTTTATTAATTGGTCCTAGTCTGGGGCGTGTGCGCGTTCGTGTGTGCAACTGCGTGTGGTATTAATTGGTTCAAATAAGAAGCACTCCCTCCGTTTATGTATATATATATAAAACAGTACCACACAATTTAAAAAAAAATAATTAATTATAACAATTATATTTGAAAATAAAAAATTACACTAAAATGCCCTAAATTAATTAATATAAGCATGCATTAATTATTTTTCATTAATGTAAATTATGAGGGGCGATTTAGAAAATGTGCAATAAATATTTATTAAAATATGTGATTTTATTTATATAAAAAAATAAGTAAAAAGTGATAGTTTCTCTTATAAATAAAAATGAAATAGTAGGCAGAAAGAATCATTTGCAACTTACTCCCTCCATTTCTATATATAAGAGAAAAAAATCATATCACACATTTAAGAAAATTGATTAATTATAATAATTATGTTTAAAAATAAAAAATTAGACTAAAATGTTCTACATTAACATAAGTATGCATTAATTATTTTTCGTTAATGTAAATTATGAGGGGTGATTTAAAAAATGTGTGATAAATGCTTATTGAAATATGTGATTTTACTTATATAAAAAACAAGTAAAAAAGTAATAGTTTTTTTTATAAATAAAAACAAAGGAAGTACTTTCTCCATCCTTATATATAAGAAATCTTTTAAATTTTTTTATCCTTAAATATAAAGGGTTGTTAATATTTTTTTATGAATGGACCATTATATTCTTATTAAATTAAAAAAATAAATATTCTTATTTATTTATTTAAAAAAATTATTTTTTAATTATAATAATAGGAGAAAAATTAAAATGTTGTACTTTTAATTAAAAAATTAACTTTTATTAATTTATGTAATTTACTTAAAAATATTTTACATATAAAAATGAAGGGAGTAAATGTTACAACTTACAAGCGGCTAAGGCTTGAAGTCTGCAAAAAGCTTCCACAAACGTTGCTTGGGTCACGTTTTTATTTTTTTGGTGGTAAATGGTCAGGTTGTATTAAATATCTACACTCCTCCATCAAACGTTGGGCCTATATGTTAGACACCCACACTCGTGTCTTGCAAAGCAATTTGTATTTTTCTTCATACAAAAAACAAAAAATTATATTGTCTTGAAGGCAAGCCGCAACCATTTCAGTCAAATTTTTTAATGACGAAAAGAAAAAGCTTTTTTCTGTTCTCTCTGAGTCAAAGAATCCCTTTTTGGTGTTTTTAAAAAATGTATTTCCCATCATCCAGTGATAAACAAAATCAAATAAACACCAATGATCTTGTAATCTACCGACACGAAATCCACCTGTAAGTAAAGTGTGAGTACAACTCCGCTGGTACCTTCAGGTTATTAGTAACTAACGTAATTAAAAAAATACATATAAACTCCAAAACTACCACTTTTTTCACAACAGAACTGCCACTTTCCTCCTCAATTCTCAGCACACAACTGACTACTCTCTCCTCTGAGTCATGATTTTCAGAAAATGTTGTTTACTGAGAGGCCTTACAAAATATAAAAAATCATTCTAAATCATTGCCACTTAATATTTACCACCTTTTCATTTTACCAAAATCTACTTACCACGGTAAAGACAGTTTGATTGGACTGCTCGTTAAATGCGTCGTTTGGAATTAGAAACCACAAGCCCGTGTGCTAGAAAGTAACGACCAGGAAAGCAAAGAAAAGAGGGGAAGGGGAGGAAGGAAAGACGAATGAAAATAGGAAAAGAAACGACACAGAGAGCAGAACACAATATGATTTCACTATACAGTGTGGGGTCATGAAATAAACATACCATTAGAAAGTAGCGTTGCACAAGAAATTCATCTCCAAACTCATGTTTTCTCCTCCATGTCATTCATTCATTCTGTATGAGGTACTTACAAAGGATAAACACGTTTTGCTTCCCCAGTGAAGAAGGGATGTCTTAATGCTTCCCTTGCTTTGAACCGTTCAGCAGGGTCATATCGAAGGAGTCCTTGAAGAAGATCAATCAAATCGCCAGCAGAATGATCAACATGCTGCATTATAAGGTTCTGCAGTGTCATAAAGGAGAACTCGGTGTTAAGGAATGTGTTAATAACCTTTGCAGCATTGACAGGATGGTGGACTATACTACATAGAAGAAATAAGAATATTTCCGCATATCAGAAAAAGAAAAAGAAAACAAAGGAAGAAAGAAGCAAAAGAAAGAAACAAGAATATTTCCTTTAAGGGTAAGCTTTATTTTATTGAAAATACGATGATACCAAAAGTTGAGGGGATTTAAATTAATAAAAGTTTAAATGTATTGTGTGTTGGATCAAGCACTATTATGTTTATACATCCCATAACCTCAGCCTTTTCTCAGTTTATACACCGATCCTAACACAAGCTGTCTCTTACACAGTCCCAAGAGAAAGATCGTTTGGTTATAGAGCTGTACTCCATTAACTGAGCATTTGACACTCCGAATTGTGAATTTGTTAAAAAAGCAAACAGCAAAGTTAGCTTGCAGAACTGTAAGGGGAGTGGGAAGCCTTGACTAATCAACCTGACCGCCGCTCAAACATTTTGATGGTCAAGATAGGAGACGCAGACAAGTAAACATAATGAGACACAAGATATTTTAAACTTGCAAGGCCCCAGGGATTTGCTTGGCACTAAATGCACTACCAGATTACAGTAGACAAAAAGAAAAGATAACACCGAATTAGATATGGTGTCAACACTAGCTTAATTAAGAAGGAAAACATATACTTTGCATGTAGCATTTCAAAAGTTTCAAAGTAAGTACCGGCAAGCGAGGCAATTTCCAGACAGCCCTCATGCTTTCTCTTGAAGTTGAACTATCTGGCCAACCCAACCGTGCACCCCTTCTAAAATATTTCTCAGCTCGACGGCTGGAAATGTAGACGAGATATGAAGCTAAATGAAAAAGGAAAAGAGGAAACAATTACTTAAAGCAACGAGAATCCAGAAGCACTTACTCAGCCCTGACCACCATATGTGGAGGTAGTGGCCCCAAAACTCTCTCCATCATAGCTAGATGCTCCAAGTTCTCATGAGTTTGAAAAAGGGCCTCACCCTGTTTATATACAAGAAAATTATAACGCTAAACATGGACTCCCAGAAGCAATCTTGATAAGGTCGTTCAAGGCAATAGGAAATAAGCTAAACTGCTACAGTATTCAAGATAACGTCATTTATGGTAATCAGAAATAAGCGTCACTTGTGAAGCTAAGAAAATCAAAATCTTTGCTCATATAAAGATTATTGGATGTGTCAAAATTCACTTTTGACATTTTCTGCCTCCATGGGCCTTCAGATTCCACGAGAAATTGCCATTCAACTCTTGAAGGAGCGTCATCCAAATCCATCACTTCAACTCGCTTGTTATTTTATTTGTGTTTCAACTGCCTTCTCCCATTAGACAAGAATTATTTGTGAAGTTAATTCATAAGAAATTGATCGCATCTAGAATTAGCATGACTCATTGCAAGATAACTATTAAGTGCACACAAACAAGTGAAGCAAGAATGCTCTGTGATGGCTTTAGAAAATGAAAATATTTGTGAAAATTCAGAGGTAGTTGCAAGAAAACTTGTTCCGATGATCATGTGCTCATCCCCTTCATATTCAGAGTTACTTGATATGTAAACTTATATGCCATTACTATTTTTTGTTCCCAGAGATAGACATGAAAACCTTAACTTGGCACTGCGAGACGCCCATAACTGGTTCAGTTTAATCAGTCATTCAACCTTCTACCAAGGAAAGTGAGTAAACAAATGTGAGTCAATACTGAAAGGTCACTTACAGAGCAGAGTTCAACCAGTATACACCCCACACTCCAGAGATCGCAAGGATAATTCCACCCAAGACCTGCAGAAAACATCAGACGACACCTGATACAAAATCACAGAGGTAACAAGCATGTGTTTCACAGCCAACAATGGTTACCTAAGATAACCTCTGGTGCTCGATAGTGTCTGGTTGACACCACGTAACTGTGATCCTGATGTTCAAATGTTGTACTCCCGAAGTCAATGAGTTTTATGGAACTTGACTTAGGTAGGTTTTTGAAATAATAGCCATCTTTTGTTGTTCGAGCCAGAAACTTAATTGACAGAGACGGATTATGCCAACAAAAGAAGGAAAAAAGTGTCAAAGTTTTGGTCTTTGAGAATGATGACAAATAAGTACAGCAATATTTCCAATGTAGCATCATGAGTGGTGGTGAAACATACCTTATAGTCTGGCACTTTAATATAGTCTGATGAGACAAGAAGAATATTCTCAGGCTTCAAATCAGTGTGAATCAATCGTAAATCATGCATAACTGCGGATATAAGCAATGGAATAAGTTATCTAGAATCAGAATAGACAGTCGTAATAACTATTTCTGTCAATTCAATGAAAGTTAACTTGATTCAAATATCAAAAAATTATCATCCATATTTAGAAAAGCAATTACATATGCCCATGTCTTAAAACTCTCAACAAGGAAAAAGGGGAATCCATTAGATGATAAATAGATAATTGGGTACAAGTTATGTCCACACACATGCTACAGACTCCAAAAGTTGTCTGCCAAACTCCCGAACAAGATCAATGGGAAAAGAACGATAGCTGTTTTTGCGGAGAAAATCGTATAAGCTTGGCCCAAGCTTCTCAAATACCTGTTGAAACCATTTAAATCCATCCGCAAGTTTTTTAACTCACAGAATATTTAAGCATGAAGGAATAGGCATTCCCATCATATTAATCAAATTATGAACATCAATAAATACTTACAATACAAATATGATTACGATAGTCAAACCAATTCCGTATTTGCACACAACTGCAAAGAATGAAACAACTTATACCAAAATCGCTTTGAACATCCACAACCAATCAGGGAAGGTAAAGAGAGAAACATTCTTACCGTGCATTGCCAATGTCATGCCTGGCAAGCCTCTGCAAAACATCAATTTCAATCATTGCGGCCTCACGATACTTGTGTATGGAGCGAATAACTTTGATTGCAACAACTTCCTCTTTTTCATTGTCAAAACATTCCAAGACTTGGCCAAACGTCCCTGCATAAATTTTAGAAAAGATGTACATGGAGCAAAATCATCTGTTAGTCAAACATACTAAAAAACCTCCGATAAAGTGTTTTCAATAACACCTTGAAAATCAATTAATATAAAGAGTTAGAGGGGTAGGATTTTAAGAAGAAAAAATCAGAGAAATTATAAAAATTACCTTCACCCATTTTACTGAGAATTCTGTCTGCAAACATCAGAAAGTAAACAATTTTACTGAACAAGTACATGCATAGCATAATCATAAAGCAGGAACAAAATTCTCCAAAACCAAATTCAATTCAATTAGTTATCTTTCTCCTCCTCCTCCTTTTTCCTGTGGAGGGTGTCAAGAATGTTCTAGTGCAAAGGGGAAAACAGTTTTTTTTAATCTAGTTAATTGGGCCATACTTAAATGGCACTAAAAAATTTCTAGAAGTTACGAGTCAAGGAAATATTCAAGTTTTTCATTTCAGTTCAAGATTTCAGTCCACATTAAATGAGGGTGAGGTAAAATAATAAACTGTGCTCATCAAATATGCATCTAATAGACTATGCAAATCTACATGAAAATGAATCACTTACATCGTGAGGTTAGATTTTCACCAATAGCAAAAACGTAATGCCCATCTTTATCATCGGGTCTCCAAGGAGGTGATGCATTGCGAGGCACTCCCCTGTAGATCACGGAAGAATATACATGATTTGGAAGCACTCCATTCGCAAGTTCCTGGCTGCAGTATAAAGCCGGAAGAGCCTGCAAGCATCCGTAACTCAATTATTCAAAGGTGATAGAAAATCTTCCATTAATATACATTTTAGGCACAATAGCATATGCCGATATGCGTATATCGTAACTTCACACTTCCCATATGCCTGTCTGGGAATAATTGGTGCAGCAAACTTCATCTAAATTTTAACACAACCATTTCCCAAGGAAAAAAATCGTAAATTTGAATCCATCGAGTGGAACATTCCTATACAACACGCTCCAATCTTTCCCGCCACGGACGCATACAATTTACCGGGGGATGGTACGGCCAAGCAATCAGCTAGAACACGTACGGAAGAATTATACAAATTGTATAGAAAATTATACAAAGTAAACGCACCAAAAAAAAATAAAGAAACTAACGACCGTTCGTGAAAGGGCAAGTAAAACGAGAAAAATATAAATCACCGGGAAGACAATATAGAAACAAGCAGGGATGGAAGGAATTAAACCTTGGAAGCCGGAGGAATAGCAGGGGGCATGTCCCATGTTAGACGAGGTCTCTTCCTGGGGCGCTTGTCCATGTTCTGATGAGGAAATTCGATAATTCGCTGCGTCTCCATTTATCGGTGTCTATGTCTGTTGTGGAGAAACATGGAACAATTATCAACGAATTACGCGGTCGGGAGATCGATCTCGAAGGAATTGGCGAAAGATATCAACAGAGAATCAAAGACAAATCTTCCAAATTGAAACCCTAACGATGGAGTAGATCTGAAGCTAAGCAATTACAGGAATCGATGAGGGAGAGGAGAGAAGGAGTTTGACCGTGGTTAGGAGTATGATGGTTTGCTAACCCGGGTTGAGAAGTGGGCCCAATAATTCATTGTTGCCTTCCGTTCTCGCTGTGCACAGGACGTGCCGTCATCGGGATCACCAGCTAGGGGTTGAAATTATTGGGCTACTTTAAATGGGCCATTAAATTTCACCACACTTTTCTCGGCCCATTGAAATTTCCGGCCCTCGTAGACAATGAATCTCGTTGGATCCAATTCCAATCTGTGATCTTTTTTTCACCTCAAAATCTTTTGGTGGGTTTTTTTACCTTTGATCTTTGTCTGCCCGGGATAACGATATGGAACGAGAAAAGTGATTTCTTTAATAAAAACCTCTAAATAAAAAGGATAAAACATATATAATTATTGTTAAGTAATGATAATAAAAGGTACATCAAAGTCTACATTGCAGGCTACCTTCAATACCAACAAGAAAAAAAGACTACACTCCTCAAAATCCATGGAATGAAATATGCTCTTTCCAGTCCTATTTATAACATATTTTGTACATCTTTTGTGTGCTTTAAAAAATTTATTATGTTTCTTGTTAGCTTTTGTTTTAACTTTCCAATTATACTCTTGTTAAAAATAGAAAGGAAAGTGATAGGTCATTTTATCTGTACAATGCTTCCCAGAGCAAGGTTAAAAAAGAAATATTATTCTCTTTTTTTTATTACCATGTGTTAAGAACCATTGTCTGTGTTTACAAAGTACACCTACCATATAAATAGAATTAAAGAGAATAATTCAATTTTCATCAAGATAGTTAAAACAGGGCCCCTGTAGCGCGCATGCCCATCTTCCCTGTTTGTGTGTATTAGTGGGGGTTATTTCTTGTTTTTTAATTGTATTGTGTGATTGCATCGTGTCAATGTGTTAGGAGCAGCTCCGGCTTGGGGACTGGAGGAGATGATAGAAAATGTACTCCGTATAAGCATGGAAAATTACACTCAATGAATATAGAATTTTAAATTTTGCATCCTCCCTTCCCTTCACATTTTGCACCTCAGGATTTAATCATTTCTTCAAACTTAAATCTAAATTTTTAAAATTTTTTAACCAAAAATCCAGTAATATAATACATCTATATAATTACTTTTTTAATTGTTAAATTATTCTTGAAATTATTATAAAAAATAGAGAGAGAAAATGGTCTCCTAACCTGAAGTCCTAGCTCAGCAATTGCGAATTTAGGTGAATTTAGGGATGATGATTGTTCATGGGTAGAACCTAGAAGAGTTAGAGAACAATGATGACTCTTTATATTTCAAGTATTTCGAGAAGTTTTGTCAGTCAATTAGAAAGTCATTTAGTGGATTTTGATTATATTTATTGTATTTGATGTTAGTTAACTTGTTTTATAAATATTTTATTTTGATTCATTTTAAAGTAATTTTTATTATTAATTTGAGTCATTATAATTTTAGGAACCCCTACAAAAGTTTGAAAGATGTGGAGGAAGAAAAATATCGTGATTTTAAGAAATAACTTGGAATTTAATGATTGTCCACTATGTCAATATCATAAAGGAAATTCTAAATCAACAATAGAGCTTGTTATAGTAAATTTTGCACAAGAAACGCACGGCTTTGGTTTTTCAAATGGAAAACGTGAAAGGGCAAGGGTTTTTAGATAGTTTGCATTTTCTAAAGCATTTTGGATTAGAGGAGGCAATTTTAAAGGCTGCGCATTAATCTAAGAGTTTGGAGGAAGATAGTTCATTTGATTTTCACAATTCTATTTAGTTTAATTATGTTTTTCTCCTTCTCCAATGTTTCTGATTTGGCTCTTTTATTTTGTTAATATTGGACTAGTGTTACTAATGTGTAGCTAGATTTTCTTTATGATTTAAGCAACTATGAACTTGTTTATATCTTGATACTATTTTATCTAATTACTCTATGTTAGTTTTGGGTTGTTTGATCTCATTTATTTTGTTTTGAGTTGAGATTTAGGGGTTTAATATTTATCTTGGAAAGGACAACCTTGGATGAACCTTGAGATTAAGTAATATGACATTAGAATTTATTGTAATATGTCATTAGAATAGAAATATACCTCTTGGACCCATATAATCATTTTATAATGTTATTTTGAACTTTAATACATCATGGACAGTTGTGTTTAAAATAGCATTCTTAACTAAGAAATGGTCGTAATTGATCTAGAAGATAGTTTCAACTAGATTGACTCAATCTAAGTTAACAAATCAATATTAATCATAAATAATTCAGTGAAGATAATAAAGTCTAATAATTAAACATGGGAGTAAGAGCTTAGATAATCTCTTTTATGAAATTGTTGTTTGGTGAAATTATTTGCCCTTGCATATTAATTGTTAACTTTTCAAGCTCATAAACTCTCAATTATAATTTGTTTGATTTGAATAAAATTGAAAATTTAATACATATTTATTACTTTACTTGATTTTTTGTGAGGTCAACCTTAATTTATTTTAAATTATATTTGCGACCTATACACTAGTTTGTATTGGTTTTTGATGGCATCAAATAACTCTACACTCAAGCTGGCGAGCTAACGAAGCCTGAACCAAACTTGTCAACGACTTGCTTTATTGACTACGAGCATGTGAGGGAATGAGTCAGGGAATAACTCTACGCTCGGAGTTAGGTTATTGAATGTTGTTGAACTATAATTCTATAAATGATAGACTAATCCTTTTTCGGCCAGCAGTTTCTCTTTTTAGATGATGTTTTTTCAGTACACTGGCGTTTTTTAATATCCTTTATGCAATGGGTTGATACATCGGAGGGTTGGTTACGAATTGTTAGGTATGCGTACGCAGTAAGTATCTAATTAATTGGTTCTACGTTTTCTGGAAAGGTCAAAACAAAAGAACAGTCATGTATAGTTAATTGTCAGTGTATGCGTGTTGAAATTTAAGCATTTTCTTCAACATCTTCTCCATTCCTTTCATTTCTGGAGCAGGGTGTGAACCGTGAAGTTTCAGTTGGGTTGTGACATAATTAATCTCCGAAACAGATGGCGGCTCATCCGGTGTTCATGTCAATATTAGCAGCAGATATTTCATCTCACCCAACTGCTCTACCAACCAACACGTGCTTTTCGGCCAGTCACCTGCACGAGAATTCCAAGTTTCAGAGAACATGTTGATTGATTCCGTATAATTAACAGTTTTTAATATTACGTGCTACAAGCAATTTAAACAGTTTTTAATAATATTACGTGCTACAAACAATTTATACTCTATAAGTTAGTGGCTCCCTCGGATGGCTCAACCATACATAAGTGTATCTAAGAATTTTTCACGAAACAACAAAGATTTACACCTTACGCGACTCTACGTAATATTTTGGATAAGTACCAAACGAAGATAACCGTAATTTCTGCAGTATCCCGTCACCAGTTATGTAATAAGCTTCTTGAGCACGTGTCTTCTTTCAATTGGTCAAAAAGGTCGACTAACTACTTCCACAACCCCAAAAAATAAATTCCCTAGATTTGAACAAAAAAGGCAACTCCAACATTAATTAATTAGTCAAACTTCAAGCTGCGACTACAATGTTGTGATTTAAACGCATTGTTTTTAGCTCTTAATGATACTTGATTGCCAGGATGCTTCTTGAGAACCAGTAAACTTTAACTCATGCCTTTCAGGGTTGAATATTGTGGTGGTTTCCTAGCTAATTCCCCATCCGCTCCAAGTTACACGTAAATTGGGTTTTGACTCCCGACCCTCAAGTTTTACTTGCATTCTCAACAGATCGAAGCTATTCGCCCCAACCCTACGTACGTATCTGCGACTTGGAAAGTTCTGAATCAATACTAACATTCCTATAAGCTCGTCATGAACAAGTTGATCAAAGAACATGTATTTTACTGAGACAATCGTTTGTGCGAGCAAATCATATGTCCTGAGTGATCGTTCCAGAGAGAAAAAAGTAAACATGAACAAGGCTTTAATTTACGTACCGCGATAAAAGTATACGGAATCTTTAAATGCACTTTGAATGTGACTTTTCAAAAAAAAAATAAATTAAATTCTGCGAATGAATCTTCAAATTTTATCGAAAAAACCATGACTTCTGATCTAATATTAAATATAAAAAACACAACAAAGTATATATTTGGCGGCCCATTTTTGTTGCAATCTGTTCGTGGCAGATCACTTCAGTAAACAATCAACGAAATGCATCTAGATTAATGTCTAAGTACTTAATTACAAGTCTGTGCTACTATCCCGCATAACTCACATGAAATTTGTATGTAATAAATAAATATGCATTTATAATTCATATACAGTAAAAAAAACCCAAGTAACTTTCCTGAGAAAAGAATTTTAATGTTCAGAGAGGAGATAAGCCATACTAAAGGATATATAATTGATAAATAAGGTTATACGATCAGTCCCTCGATCTTTTTTAATTTATTTTTTCAATTAACAAATTCTTAAAACACTTTGTTAATAGTATTCCATAAATTTTTTTTATTAAAAACCATTTGAAGGTTCCAAAAAAGTATAAGAAAAGGGCAAGCCTTCGACGACTGTAAAGTTGGATTCACGGAATAGTATAGCTAAGAAAGGAGAAAACCCTTGTAAATACGGCAACGAGTCAAAGAGCCACTGGAACTTGATGGCCCTGCACAATTCCATGTATTTGAAAAACTCAATTCAAACCAACAATCCATCGGTCAAATAACACCTCCACTCCAAACTCCTATAAATGCCAATTTTCAATAACCATTCCTCATCATCAACCAATCCGCCCACATCGATCCCATGGAACACGTAGCAGTAGTTAAGGAACAGAGAGCAGATCAAAGCAGCTTCGAGGACATGGCAAAGTGTCTGATGATGCTATCCCATGTCCAAGACAATAATAACATTATGAAAAAGCCTCGAAGCGGCGAAGTAAGCTGTGTGGAATACGAATGCAAGACATGCAAGCGCAAGTTCTCGTCGTTTCAGGCGCTGGGTGGGCACAGGGCAAGCCACAAGAGGCCGAGGCTGGAGGGAGATCAGGACCTGAGAGCGCAGGCCAAGTCTCTGCGCTTAGCGACGTCGAGACCCAAAATACACGAGTGCTCGATTTGTGGTCTGGAGTTTTCGTTGGGCCAAGCACTGGGTGGCCACATGAGGAGACACAGATTCGCAGCCCTAAAAGACGTTGTCGTCAGCGACAATGATCCTGGCTTTTCTTCCAAAGTGCCGGTTTTGAAGAGATCCAATAGCAAGAGGGTTCAGTTCTTGGACCTTAACTTGACCCCTCTCGAGAATGATTTGAAGCTCTTGTTTGGAACTGTGGCGCCTAAGGTTGAGGCCCTCATCTGATTCCATTTCTTGTCGCTATACATTTACTTTTTCTCCTTCACATGTAATTTGTATCTATTCTTTAAACTTTTGTATTCCTTTAATTCTTACATGTAACATTTGTTATTAGGTCCATTTTCTATACAGATCTCTTGACTTATGCTTGGGATTTTTTTTTCTTCTTTAAATAAATTAATAATTCAATCTTTAACTGAGATCGCTTGATCTCCTCTCCATTTGGCATTTAAAACATTTCAAGTCATTTTTTTTTTGGCTAACAAGTCATTTTCATGAAAACAAAGGAAAAGTAGTCGTTAGGGTTTTCGATCTTGATTTCCTCAAATTACAAGCATAAGCGTGGACTTTTAAAAAAGCTCAAGTATGTACAATAACGTATGACATATATACATTAGTTTGGTGGAGGCGGCAGGGAGAAAAAGATCCAATCCGCTTATTTCTTTGACAATCCACGTTGAATCCTACTGTATCTTCCTTTTCGGACCGGGCTTTTCTTGGGCTGCAACAACTTATTGGGCTGACATGGTCCGGAAAACTGAAAAATGTCACAAGAGCTTGTCAAAACAAAAACTTAACAAAATGTTGGTATAGTTGCCAATAACACATAAAATTATGAGTTCAAATTCAATTGTTGATGTGATAACCTTATTGATAGGATTTGTAAGTACTCTTGTAAGTACTTTTAAAGCTTGAAAGCAAACTTTGATCCTAGTGAGTTCTTGAGACATAACATACTTAAACTTTTGTGAACAATACCCTAAAACCCTCTCATTTTCCACCCATGTTCATTGACATTAGCTTGGACTCCATGACCTAAGTGGATATGATACAAATCACAACGGTCTAAGCCTTAAACATCATCCCAATGTTCAATTTCTGGAGGTATGTATGGAAAAGTATTGCTTGAGAGAAGATGATTTTGAATGACATTCAAACTTCCAAGGAGATTAATCCTATAGCTATTGGCTAAAGAGATAACTTGAGTAAAAAAAAAAAAAAACACATACACCGCATGATTGTATATAGATTTTATATGGAAGATGTAATGTAGTACGTGCAAAATAGTGCCTTTTGAAACTCGGGCGATGGCCATGCAGAAAGCATTAAAAGACAATACTGACAATTAGTGATAATTAAATGTAGAAAAACATGTCATTGCCACCTTATTTATATCTATTCGTATGACTAAAAAGTAGATGACTTGTCGACATTCAAAAAATGAAGTCACCAAAATACTAGCTCTTTTTTGTTTGGGCAGAAAAATACCTGCTCTTTTTGATTAATCAACACGAGGTATTGTCATACAGGATTGAGCCAATTTCATTTTTCGTTTATTAGATTTGAATTATTCTATTTTATTTTTTAATTACAATCCTAAATCTTGAATTTTAGCTTAGATCAAATATGTTATATTTTAAATTTATTTATTTATTTTCATAATTTCATGTTTTAATAATAATTTTATGAAATATTAAATTATAACCATTCAAAAATTAATTCAGGGATTAAGATAGCATGTGGAGAGGAAATGAAGAGAAACTAAATAGAGATAAGCCAAGTCCAAAAGAAACAATCAACCTGGTAATCCCTAAGATATACAAGTACAATTTGCTTGTATCTTTTTTTTTTTTGGTTGCTCAAAGTATCTTCACAATCAACAACTATAAAATTAATCCCTCAAAAAATTTAAATGCCATAAAGGTTGTATTCTTCCAAGTAATGTTTTTTTTTGGAAGAGGTATTGAATTCAAACTCAACATTGAGATGTGTTGTTTGCTTGTGTCTTTGGTGCGATTCAGTTGTCTTCCACCGACCTAAATATGCGCCTAACCTGGCAAGGACATTTATTAATTAATTAAGTAGGCATGACAAAGATTATGCTACTTTACATTATTTTTGTTGCTCGATCGGTTTAATGTTTAATGAACAGCTTAAACTCACGATCGCTTTTTGGGTCAAGTTAAATATAGCGTGTAGAATCCTCGCCAACATGATACTCTACTTGTTCGCATTGGTTCGTTTCACTGTAGTCAACCTAGAAGCTCAAACTTGTGTATATTCATTAATCACTAGTTGTTCGACTTGTGGGTTGCACATGACGACCAAGACACTTAGTGTTGGCTTTGATAATAATGGATTTAACTGGATCGCTACTAAATCATACAGGGTTTGACCATCTTTCTAAGCAATACAATGATTTGTCAGGTCTTGATCGATAACCAGGCCCTGCCAAGTGCGATACACTCGCACCAATACATAGGTCCGTGATGACCAAACATAAGTTAATTAGCAACTTACATCAGCATACATAATGAGTTTTTTTTTAAAATAGTACAGATGATGTGGGTACTATGAGATGAAATGAGATGGATGTGGCTTCAGATATTTTAGTTGGAACGGTGACTGGGCAACATGAGCGGGAAATGAAGACCCAGGTTGGAGGGCGTGCTTGGAACGTGGTTTCAGATGCAAACGTGTTATTTGAAGGTTGTGTTTTGAATTTTAATTGAAAAAGATTAATTATAAAAAAATTGTTTATTAGAAGATAGATTTTAAAAAATTAATTTTTATTAACTATAAAAAATTGGTTATTAAAAGTGAGGGGGATTGATTCCTTACTCATGTGAATGGGGGGCACTTCATGACTAATCATTTGCTCCTTTATAAGAGATCTTATAGTGAGAGGATTAATCATTACTACTAGGTGAATACCTTAGTCTTGTATAAAAAAAAAAAAAATACACACTTTCTATTCCTCCTCTAATTGGTTCACTCATAGCTACACATTCGTCTTTTTTATTTGACTTGGCTAAGAGCACTGCCTCTTTCAAGAACGTCCTTCAGCAGGGCACGTAGCATTCGCATACAATTAGAATGAAACCTGACATTTGTTTGTTCTGCATGACTTAATATTCATTCTTGTTAGAGGTTCAATACAACAAGAATAACTTGACTTCATATTTGGAACCTGAAAGTAATATGACAGAGAGAGAGAGGAAAAAATTAAACTCTATTTTTAAGGCATTTGTCAATTTCTAATATTTTTCTTTACATTTTTATTCTTATTAATTACTTTGAATAAAAATACCAATGGTGAAATTTAAAAATATTTATTAGAAATAAAGGTAAAAATTTATTAAATTTTAAGACAAAGTTAATGAAATTTAAAATTTTTTTAATTTCTATAAAATATATTGAAAGTGATTTATAAATAAAATCAAAGATAGTAAATGTTTGGCATAGTGTAAAATGATTAAGGCATTGATTTCACCAATGACTAAACATCAAGAAGCTAGACTAAGAGAGACGTTTAAACATAGCAAAAAAGAGTAGTTAAAAGTTGTACTCCTCTAATCCTCCTTATAAAATAAAAAGATAAAAAAAATTAATTATATTCATAAGGCACTTGTCAATTTTTAAATGATTCTCTTTATATTTTTATTCTTATTAAATATTTTAAATAAAAATATTAGTAATAATATTTAAAAATATTTATTAAAGGTAAATGTGAAAACTTAATTAATTTTAAGACAAAGTTAATGACGTTTAATATTTTTTTTGGTTCCATTAAAATATGTTAAAATACGTTTAATATAAATAGTAAAACATAATATAATATCATGGCCAAAACTGGAAACTATTCTAAATAATCCAGAGACAGGAAAAATTTAATCTCATATAAAACTGTAATGGACGTCTTGAAGCTAGAGTGCGTGGTTATTAAAATTCTTCATATTATTAAGATCGTTTATCATGAAATGTTAGTACCATACACCATACTGGTATTTTGTAGTAAGCTTGGCCCTACTTCAGACAAAGTGAACAGTCAATGACTTTGAACTTCATGATTTTCTGTTCAATTCCCACCACACCAACCGTTTTCTTGCAGTCCAATAGTTCATCTTCCCCTTACTTTATCTACATATAATTCTTCCCCATTTATACCGAGCAAGTCCCAATCCATGCCATGGCAGCCGCGATGAAATTTTGACAATTGGTCCCACTAAATTTTATGTTTTTTTTTGGACCTGACTAAATTTTATGTAACTTCATTAATGAAACGGGACTGTTACTATTTTAAGCAATACTCTCTGCAAAACCACCTTTGAGGGAAGAAAACCACGGGACCAGAGAAGCATAAGAAATCACTAAGAAGTCAGCGTTACGCATGCCTTTATACTAGATACATCTGAAAAGGAATAAAATTTGAGCAGCCTCACTAGCAAAGAGTTCTTTACCATATTACAAGGAGTCAATTTTCTTGAATCCACAGCAAAGAGGAGCCACTCTTCCCGATCGGATACATGGGAATTTTTTTTTTAAAAAAAAAATCAATAAACTTCATTTGATTTTGATCACTTTGCCTTTGCGTGTCAATTTTCTGGCACCTTCTGCCCCAGTTCTCTTTCCTACAAATCTCCTCCTACCTCTCCTTTTGTTTTTCCGAGGAACATCCCCCAAAATTTCTTATGCTTCCTTCCCGCCTCACTGCTCCACCAACTCGGAATCTCAAACAAGCTATTTCTCTCTGCTCTTTTTAACCAGAAGGGAAAGAGGGAAGCAGCAAGAAAGCTGGAATCTTGAGTTCATAAACGCTCTCGTTCATTCTATTATCTGCAAGACCTTACATCTCCTTTCCTGTAAGTGCTCTTTCTCTTACAGCACTGTTTTTAGAATGATTATTTCTGGTCCTTCATTCTCTTCTTCTTTGTTATCTTATTTTTCATTGAACAGTCACACATCAGTCTCCAAGTAGGCGTAGCAATGTCGAAGGCCCACGCCCCAATAATCTTCTATTCGTGTTTTGTTCTGCATCATTGTCCTGCTCATGTGTCTGCTCTGCCTTAATCCTCTCCTTTGTTTTAATTCATTCCTGTCTTCAGAACCTTTGTATTTGGTGGTTCTATGCTTCATTCACTTCCATGAATACCGTTCCTCCTCCATTTGGGATTCAGTACATGATATTATCTGCAGTATCTTTCAGGCTTTGGAGTTATTGACTGAGATCTCATTCTTGGCTTTGAGATCATTTCTCTGAGTCAATAAACATAAAGAAGCACACAGCCTTTTTGATTCTTTATTTATCATTCAACCTCTCCACTCCGTCCTACTCTCTGGAAAGCCCCAAACCAGGGATTGAAAATTTGAAATATAATATTCCTCAAAGAAACGGATCAGCCTGGCCTTTTCTCAACCTTTTCCTCTTTTGTATATTATATGCCCGCTACTTGATTTCTTTTATCGTTTCTGAGTCCTGACTTCGTCCCCGATTCGGTCGTTGCCTCTGTTTCCCCTGCAACTGTCTCTTTTAATATTGCCGTTGAAAACTGCCTCGGCACTAATTTATGTCTTTCTCCTGCTAAAATATCTCGATGCATTTTCTATCTTTCTCGGAGACATTTTCTAGTTAATTTAAAGTTTTTCTCCACTATATTATTAGAAAATGTTTTCCCTCGTGGATTCGGATAATCCTTACCTCCCTATATAACCTACGGTTCCGAAGGCATTATTCTGATGGGTGAATGTTGGATTCGGTTTTGTTTTCAGTGAACGGGGGTTGCAGCAATGAGAGCAGAGTCGACGAAGATATCCAAGGCATGCACATAGTACCGCCGTCTTTCAATTTCTTTATCGAGTCTTTTGATCTCCGAATTAGGTTTGATTTTCTTTTGGTGATTATAGTCTTCGTGGCCGAAATTATCCATGAGGAGGTGGCTTCATATAAAGAGCTTTGCGGATAAATCTCACTCAGACTTCAATGAATTGGGTAGAGAAAAATCACTTGGTCGTTTTCCTTCTTGATTTTGATTCGTGTTATCTAGATTATTACGTGTCGTGTGCTGGGAATTAACGACTAGTTCTTCTTGTTCATGGTGGACTCAGGCACTCAGAAAGAGAGGAGGAAGAGCTGTTCAGATCTAAAAAACTGTTACGTCGTCGTACCAGACGATTTCTCTGGTAACTTTCCAATTCTTCCGACTAATTTATTTCTTAGGAATTACTCATAGAAAATCAGTGTGGCGTCGGAGGGGTCCGATGGATGAATCCGACGGCCTCGTTCACATGATTTGACATGAAAAAAATACGAGTTGTGAAATGACTTCAGGGGACGAGACCCCCTGGGGTGGGCCCCATCTAGTTCAAACCCAATGGGCCTGCCACGTGGAGGTACATTTATTCAGGAAATCCAGATATTGATGATTACGGGGCTTTATTTATTTTGTTTCAAAGAGGGGTGGTTGTTGGAAGCTGGGAACGGAGGGAAACAATGTACCGTACTGGAGAAGGAAGCACCAGCTGGGAGGGAGAAACTCAACCTTAGGTGAGTAATTTCAACACCGTCGCGTAGAAAATAATAATGAGAGTTTTTGATCTGTGGTTTAGTTATTATGGAAACGTCGTTGTTATAGGATGTTCGTGGGGACGTGGAACGTAGGAGGGAAGTCACCTCACGAAGGCTTGAATTTGAGGGACTGGCTCTCCCTCACTTCTTCCCCAGCTGACATCTACGTTATTGGGTATGCTTTCTCTTTCTTTTTTATCAGTTCCCAATTCTGATCACTTTCCACTTTTAAGAGACTGCTTCTCACCCTCAGCCACAGTACAACACCTGCTACTCATGATTAATTTACCGTTCATTTTTACTTCTCTTCCAATTCTTGCCCCACGTCTCGTTCCAAACAACTCTTACTATTTTGGATGAGATTTGAACTGTTCAAATGTAGTTTAGATAATTTAAATTTAAAAATTTTAAACGTATAATTTGTAATTAATAAATTTATTTTTTAACAGTGTAAATTAAGAGATTATTTTTATGTTTAATTCTGTACCTATAAAATAAAAATTTTATTAAAACAATATATAATTATTATTAAATTTGTACCGTTTAGTTTAATTCGACTGCCTTTAGGCTTTAACTATTAGGATTAGGATCCAATGGACAGTTTTACCCCCACTCTGCTTTGAGATCGCTTTTATTATTTATTTGTGTGATCCCCCCCGCCCCTCTTTTTTTTAAGTTAAGCGGACCCAGGGAACGTTATTCAGACGCTCAAGATCCAGCTTTTACATCGAGCAATAATTTTTTTAGTCATTTTCTGTTTCTCTGAACGCATGAATGTATAAATGTACGACAATTTGGTTACATGGATTGCGCTTGTTAGGTTCCAAGAAATCGTCCCTCTCAATGCAGGGAACGTGCTGGGGCCAGGGGACTGTGGGCCGGCAGCCAAGTGGCTGACACTTATTGGTCAAGCCTTGAACTCCAACGAGCTTGACTCCGATTTGAAGCCAACCTCCAGTTTCTCCGGCTTGCTTTCTTTAGAGCAGCCTCTGTATTGCCTCGCCGCAAGCAAGCAAATGGTCGGCATCTTCTTATGCGTGTGGATGCGAGCCGATCTTCACCAGCATGTCACCAGCTTAAAGGTGTCTTGCGTTGGCAGGGGTATAATGGGCTATCTTGGAAACAAGGTCGGTTCATCGTTCAGTTCAAGGTTCACTGTGACTCGATTCCCCGTTTATGGCAAACTTGTCCATATAATTCCTTCCTTTCTCGGTGAATAGGGTTCAATTTCAATTAGCATGACATTGTACCACACCACGTTCTGTTTTGTTTGTACCCACTTGGCCTCCGGAGAGAAAGACGGTGATGAAGTTCGAAGAAACTTGGACGTCTCTGAAATCCTGAAGAAAACTAAATTTTCGTCCTCTTTTAAAGCCATTGGACATTCACTCTCCCGTGAAAGCATATTGGAACATGAGTAAGCCCTTCATTTTTTCCTTCGTTCAATATTTTATCCTGTCAACTTCAGATTCAAATTATATTAATTATGCAGCGAGCCCTTTATTCATTTTTCCCCTACTATGTGCAGTAAGATAATTTGGCTCGGGGATTTGAATTATCGTTTAGCTACCGGTTATGCCGATACCCATGAGTTATTAAAGAAGAACGATTGGCAGGCATTATTAGAGAAAGATCAGGTAAACAAGTTACGTTTTTTACTGACTCTTAATCGCATTGTTCTTCATATATCCTGGCTCTCTTTTCTGATGTCTGATTGTTATTGCCTGGCAGCTAAGGATAGAACAAAGAGCTGGTCGAGTGTTTCAGGGTTGGAAGGAAGGAAAAATATATTTTGCTCCTACCTATAAATACTTAGCCAATTCTGACCACTACGTTGTCCAAACCTCGAAATCCAAGGAAAAACAACGAACTCCTGCGTGGTATGATTTTTTATTTTTTTCTCTTTGGTTGAATCCTTTGAGAAAGCCTTTTCTTTTGTCATGATAAGCCTTTTGATACCCTTCATGAATCATGCATCGTTATATTTGTTTATGCTTTTGATATGGCGTGGTGAGAGAGATGACTCTAGCTTTTAAGTTTTATCAGTTGAACGGAGCACTGCAATTGGATGAAACAATAATTAAAGAACACAATTTGCACTTGTTTATTAAGCTGTAGTAGGTGTTGATCTTAAGTAACGTAGGACTCAATACTACTCTCACTGAAAAGTGATTTACTTGTGATGATATATGATTTATCGTGTGTTTTGCAATATTGTTAATTAGAGGTCACGGACAAGGACAATTATTATTAATCATGCCTATTACATTATTAAACACAGGTTTTATGTTGACGGGAGAGAATTAGCATAAAATATTTTGTAAATTGCGTGATAAGATATCATGCATCTTGCTAATTTGATGATTGAATATATCAAGCTTTCCATGGTTTCCCACCTGCAAGAAACGTCAGGGTAAAAAATAATAAAAAATAATGTAACCCATTTTCCCCTTAATAGGCTGACCATATTTTGTCTTTAGTCTTGTGCCAACATAAATGGAGCAAATTTATTTTTAGTTTATCATTATAATTTCTAAGGATTATAGAGAGCCCCTCATAACTGAGAACCCAGATTCAAATGATATATTGAGGCTCTAAAAATCTTTTTTGGTTGCTGAATGTGTATTAACCGTGAAGATGACAGTATGAACTGACAAATAATAAAATTGAAAAATGAAAAGGTGCGACCGGATTCTGTGGAAAGGGGAGGGGCTGAAGCAGATGTGGTACAAGAGAGGAGAGTTGAGATTCTCAGACCACAAGCCTGTCTACTCAGTGTTCTCAGTTCAAGTGGATACGACAACCAAGAATCTCAGTCCGAAACCCAACAATAATACCGCCCTGTCGTCGACCTACGCCGCTACAGTTCAGGCAGAGGATCAGCTTTTGTTACCAACAAGGGTACAGTAGAGTTGCATAGAAAGCACACCCAGGTTCTGAAACACCCACTCCTAATTCCCATAAAGCAAAAACTGACACCAAGGAAGCTTGTCCAGTACCCCACAGCCCCGACACGTTCAACGGCCCGAAGACGGCGACCAGAGTCGGCGGATTTTGGGCAAATTGTTAGTGTTCATCTAAAGGTTTGACAAATGCCGTGGATTATAACGTAAGCCGGGCAGAAGAAGAAGATTGATGACGATGAATATTGGACAGTACGATCGTGGGCATTTATTTCCTTCATTTTCGGGGGAGGATTTTGAAGGCTGAGCTTTTCAGTGAATTATATTTAAGCTTAGCTCTTGAGAAGCGCGAATAATTTGTCCACTCGAAGCAAAGGGGATGAGATGGAGTGAGAGCAGTTTTTAGGGCTCAAATCCTCCTATTGATTGCTTCGTCTTTATAATCAAGTGGGCGGGTGATGGCGATTGGCCTTCGTCAGTTACATCATCATTATTCGATATTCAATTCAATGTATAAAATTTATCTTTTTGTTTAATTTATGCTTTGGTTGGGATTTGACAAGCATTTTTCCCCCTTGGAAGTTGGCCGGCTGTTACACGATTCGTCAACGATTTCATCTCACAGCGTTCAGTATTATTTTGTCCCGGTTTTAAGGGATGAATCAATTCCCACGGCTAGATCACCATCTTAGTGCCTGTTTGGATTGACTTAAATAATCATTTATATCAACCTAAACCGAGGTTTCGATTAAAAAACTCATAAACACCTCTATTTTTTTCATAATCAACTTTTCCTTCCAAAATTTCCTACTTCTCATTTTCCATTGTATCTGTTGGTGACCTGTTGATGACATTATTGTGTTTCAAAATTTGAATCTACCAAGTATACCTTTTGTTTTATGATAGAAGCAAGCATACCTTGCGCTCAATGTACCCATGTCTCTGCCAGCGAAGTTAGGACTTGAAATCAAGGGTACAAGATAATTTAATTTAAAAATTAATATTTTGTTAAAAATAATAATTATATTAGGACTAAAATTATAATAGCATAAATAGATTGATCATCATTTTTTTAAAAAAATTATATTGAACATGTTAATATGATCTCTTATATAAATATCTTCTTCATATTTTATTTGAATTATTAAACTATTATATATTTAATAAGTTTTTGAACTTAAATATTTTTTATTTAATTCAAAAATTGAAAAATATCAAAAGTAAAAGGTGCAGAGTTGCAAAATTTACACCCGCTACTTATGATTTTTTTCAAAGTGAGGAGGGGTGCATCCCCCCTCCCCCGCCCAAGTGGCTTCGCCACTGGTCTCTACTATATATGTGTATATATTAAACATTCATATTGTGTATCATTTTACAATTATTTTCCTTTTTCACCCAACATTATTTAATCTTATTTACTTTGTCTTGTACGTGAAATAAATAGAGAATTTAATACTATTATATGAAACTTTATAATTATTTAAATTATAAAACTCATGTCCTTTGTTATAACTTATATATTAGCAATTGATTTTATTTAAAATTACCTAAACATCTTTAATTTTATTAAAATAAATTATCTAAACATCTTTAATTTTATTAAAATCAATCTCAAAAAATAACATCTAAATATATTCATATTATAATATAATCAATTAGAACTAATTATATTAATTAATTTTTTTACAATCAATCACTTTTTTTTATATATATAAGAGAAAAAATTTATATCACACAGTTTAATAAAGTTGATTAATTATAATAATTATGTTTAAAAATAAAAAAATTGAGCTAAAATGCTTTATGTTTGTTAACATGAACATACATTAATTATTTTTTATTAATATAAATTGTAAGGGGTAATTTAAAAGACCTGTAATAAATGCTTATTAAAATAAATAATTTTACTTATATAAAAAGAATAAAAAGTTACAGTTTTCCTCACAAGTGGAAACTAAGAGAATACATGCAAATGAAATTTAAACAATGAGAGTTTGCCACGTGTAAGACAAATTGAGTGGCACCGACATCCGCAAATAAGGATGGTTGGGCACTGGACTCGACGATGGCTGGTCCGTACACCGGCATGGTCATTACCTCTATCTGTGGCAAAACACACATTTATCATCTACACATGCTCGTGCAGACGACATGCCACACTATGCGTCATGCGAGGCACCATCTTTGAGCATTCCCGTCCTTAACAAATTCCTCAAACTCAGCTTCTCTATCTGTTAGATCTCAAGACGAGCCTCCTCCGTACAATGGTCGCAACATTCCAGCAATGTTACGTTCATTAGGTCCCTGTTACCGACTCACCATGGATCGTGAGCTGGTCGGGTATGTGCTGTTACGATCCTGGTTTAAGCTTTCACATCTCAGTTTCCTGTTGATGAGGAACAATGAATATAGAACAGGTTAAAAAAATGAAGATACGCATTTGTCCTCTACTTTCTAATCATAAGACGAAGATTAAACGACGTGCTGTAATTGCATTTGCCTAGTTTGATTGGAAAATGCTGTACTCTGGAGTCTGCAAAGATGAGATTCCATCAGTTTTACGTTTTGGTTTTTCACTTTCATTTGGATGGAAAGAGCATAGAAACAGTTATGTGATCTTCATTTCCTGTTCACTCAATTTTATTTTGTGCACTCATTGGCAAGCAATTTGTTTTGTTATGAGGAAAAAGTTTAATGCTTCTCGATATCGTAAAAATGAAAGGCTACTATTGAAGGAAAGAATTATCCAATCAACAAGGATCTTGCAGAGGAAAGGCAAATGGATGATCGATGGCTTCATTTAACTGAACTTAAAAAATCATCATTCAATAATCTCAAAAATATTATGCCATGAGTCCTGTGTTAGGAGTCTCACAAATGTTGTGGAGTTTATAAGTTTAAGGGACCCTCTCATCAAATAAATTAATCTTTTGAAATGACTTCTCTCTTTAAGCTTGTACTTGTCACATTGGTGCTTCCATTGAGAGGCTTGTGTCACAAAAAGGACTACCTATAGAGGATCTTGATCAGCAGAAGGCTGAGTGAAATGCCTTAAATGGAGTTGCTAAGGACGTCAGCTCTTGATAGGGTAGCATTGTTATAAGTTTTATATTAGGGAGTCTCATAAGTGGTGTGAGGTTTATAAATGTGAGGGACTTTCCTACTTGTTGGGTGGTGGTATCACTCCCTTTAGACTTATGGCCTTAAAAAGGGCGTTCCATAGAGGGTTCTGACTGGGCAAGGCTAAGCGAAGTGCTACGGAGTAGGAGCCATGGAATTATAAGTTTAAGAGCACTCCTATTAAGCTAGTCTTTTGGGATGGGTTTTTCTTTTGGGTTTGTACTCGTAACATTAGTACTTCTATTAAGAGGCTGGTGTCATGGAAAGGGCCCTCCACGAAGGGTTTTGATCAGCAGGAGGTCGAGTGAAGTGCCACGGAATGAAGTCATCGGAGACGTCAGTTCTTAACTAGGTGGCATTGTCACAAATCCCACATCAGGGAGCCTCACAAGTGACATAGGATTTATAAGTGTGAAGGACTCTCATGCCTAACAGGCTAATTTTTTGATATGGGCTCTTCTTTTGAACTTGTGCTCGTTACATTGATGCTTTCATTGAAAGCCGGTGTCATGGAAAAGGCTACCACAAAAGATTTTGATTGGCAAGAGGCCGAGTAAAGCCGTTGGGAACTTCAGCTCTTAACAGGATGACATTGTTACGAGTCTCACATCAGGGAGCCTTACAAGTGGTGTGATGTTTATAAGTACAAGAAATTCTTCTACTTAACAGACTGGTCTTTTGGGATGGGTTTTCCTTGGAACTTATATTTGTCACATATTAACTATGCAAATTTGCTGCGCCATAGCTTTTGTCCATTTTTAACTTTTGTCAGAACTTAATGAAAGGAAATTTTTATCCAAGTACTAGCATTATTGTTTCCATGTTCAGGGAAAGAGTAACAAAGGGAAATTGCCTGATTTTTTTTTTCTCTTTACTTAAATCCTAATAGAAAATGGAAGGGTTGTGCCTTATCTTTTTATTTCTCTCTTTTTTTTTTCATCAATCAATGCACTGATGAACTTACCTTACTCTATTAAATGATACACTATCGTCGACTCTGGGTATAAAATTTCTGTCTTTTGTCATTTGCTTCCTGTTTTATTCTTTAAATGTTTGCTTGTATCGCATTTATCTCACGTCTGTTTTGTGCTGGACTTCTATGTGGACAAATTTGCGACCCAGATTAACTGGCCGCCTATAACGTATTTTTCTCCTAAACCGTGTCTTGACACAGTAATGTATGATTATTTTCTCTGATTGGTAATAAGATGTGTATTGTTCATAGTTTTCTATATGTGTTGCCGGTGCAGTGTCATCTTTGCACCCCCTTTTCTTGCTTCTTTGAAATTCTTCAGGAAAGGTTTTCTTTCAATATATATATTTTGTGGTAGACTTTACACAATCGGGAATTTTTGATGGCAAACTTGCTGGATGTTTGGATGACGGTGACATGGCACAAGACAATTCTTCTGGGATGGTCCTGTGGTGGATATTTTTGTCAAGAAGGAAAGGGCAGAAGAGATTTTAAGCGGCATATCTCCAGATGTTGACTAGGCGAACGTGGTAATAGCGGATAACTTGGATCCCATATACAAGAAAATCGTCTTTCTGGTCTAAACTGTGGTTGAATTAGGAAAGTTAAAGTCAGCAAGGTGAGGGGATATGATGATGTCGTGTCTCTTCCTACCAGGAATTCCAATGATAGTTAATATACGTGGGGAAGGTAGAAATTCCATATTAATGAGTCTCAATTATGACATGGGGGATAGCAATGTTGTGTCTGTGCCAACAGGCGATGCCAATGATGAATATGCCAATCAAACTTTGGCAAGTTGCCTGTATATAAAAAGAAGGGGAAGGAGTTCCATATTAACAAAGGTTCTCATCTATGACAAAGCGGATCTCAATATCACCTCGATGGATGATTTCTGTGGCGGAGAAGATAATAATTGAACCTATGGGCCAGTCTTACAGTAAGGGAGATGGCAACTTATCTTGGGGTCCAGCATACATAGAGATTTTCAAATACCATATCAATGTGTCAGGAATTTAGCAAGGATGATGGAAATATGATGTCCCCTGCTTAGGGTTTGAAAAATGATGACAATTCTATACAAAGAGATCACATATTTCATAAGGGTTGAGGACTTGGGAGCGCCATAACAATTGGTTACACCTACTACAAATTTTTTTTTTTTTGGGGGGGGGGGGAGAGGTGACATGTGATTGTTTACTTATTCTTATGAAGAGTGATGCCAAATAATATCTTTCGTCAGGTGTGTCATTTTCTGCTGTAAGTCAGAACAGACACCAATATAATATTTTTGCAGAATATATTATTTGATCTTAATCAGACAATGTAATAACTCACGCTGTGATGGTTTCTGTTGATGCAATTATTTTGTTTGTATACTAATGTCTCCTCAATACTTCTCACGTTCGCCAGAAAACTTCTCAGATGAATGAACTTTCAGATACGGACAAGATCAAATGCAGCAACGTAACTGTCATAAAGGAGCATTATTTGAGTTGAAAGGCAGTATCTTCAG